GTTGGTGATAGAAGTGTTTCCACCCTTGCTTTGCAAGTAGTCATGTGCTATTTTGATCATCCCTTACTGTTTCCAAGAATATATTCTGGAGAATAGTGATGGATTTAGGCAAATAGCTAATTGCGTTTTATCCTGAAATGGTGTTCTGAGATTTCTCCTTCCTTCAAATATATAAACTAGAACACAGATCTCTGACCACTCATCAATAAGCAAAAACAATTATTTTTTCAAAAGACATCCTCTTCAGATTCATTTAACATCAGTAGGTGTTGCATGAGCATGACGATCTTGTCCTAAGCATCTATCATGCTGATATAGTTGAACTACTGAGAGTATTAATAAACTACTTCTAGAATGCATTATCGTGATGAAGCTTTTATGAATCTACCAGATATTAGGAAAGACTTTTGTCACTGTGCTAAAATCTGAAGTTTGCAATCATGTTTTTTATAAAAAATTTATTTTACAGGAATAAGTGTTTTACTGCATGTGTGTAAGTGCACCCACGTGTACAATTATGCACATTGAGGCCAAAAGAGGGCATTTAGACCCCCTGGAACTGAAGTTACAGATGGTTTTTTATCTCTCATGTGGGTTCTGGGAGCTAAACCTGGGTCCTCTGCAAGAGTAGCCAGTGTTCTTAGCCGCTGAGCTACCTCTCCAGTCCCAAGTAATTGTGTTTTTGTAGATGCTTTATAATATTTAAAATTGTGCTGTTTATATTTTCCTTCTTATGTATCTTTATGCAGCCACAGATAACTGTTTGTTCCTAGAGTAGGGACAGCAGTGTGTGAAGAGCGTGGCTTAGTGAGGCAGGAGGAGGAAAGGGGACAAGGGATTAAACTCAAAGAGCATGGCACTCAGGAGCGACAACACTAGAGAAACAGAGTGTGCCTTCAGAGGGGTTATGACAACAAATAGGGAAGGAGGCTGCTAGATTTGAGTCTAGGCAGACTATCTGGACAGCCACTTAGGGCCTCATCAGCCAACAGGACACATCCAGCTGAGATGAATGCCTTGTTATTTCTGACGGTTTTCTTAAAGTGTCTCATGATCTACCACAGGTTTTATAACCCTAGTTCAAAAATTGCAAATTCAAAAATGTTCCAAAAGTACAGCTGTGATGCCACAAATGGAAATTTCCACACCCACACTCACATGGTGGGACATAGTCAGAATGCAGACACACTAAAAATATTGTTCAAAATTATGTTCCTGCCATTTTTATAAGACATACGAGATAAAAACAAATTTCATGTTTTGACGTAGACCACATTCCCAAAATATCTCATTAAGAATATGAAGATATTCTAAAATCTGAAAAGTTCTGCAGTTTTAAACACTTCTGTTCTCAAGTATTTCAGATGAGGGATGTGTAAGCAGGCCAAGCTTACCAGTATATCTGGATAGCCTAATGAGCTTAGCAAAAGAAATACATATAGATTGACTAATTCAGAGAGGTTTGGTGTGACAAAATTTGTATTATTTAATTAGCAGAACTGCAGGGAATGCTTATCCTCATTTTTTTTCTTTTATGAGACAAGGTCTCCCTGTAACCCCAGCTAGCCTGAACTTGCTATGTAGAGGAGGCTGGACTCTTCACCTGCCTCTGCCTTAGACGTGCTGGGATTAAAGGCAGGTATGACCACACCTGGCTTATTCTCGCTTTTAAAACCTGGTCTTTAGGAGGTCTAGCAACTTGGCTGTTTACTACAGTACAATTCTGAGGTCCCTGAGTTTTGTGCTAAGGGAAGATGATTTCAAGTTCCAAGTTTTCCTGTTTTCACAGTAAACAAAGTATCAAAGTTCTCAGGTGGCGTACCTCCTCCAACAACACCCCGTGTCCTAAAAGTTTATAATCTTCTCAAACAGTACCACCAGTCAGGGACCAAGTGTTCAAATACATGAGGCTGTGGGGAACATCTCTTATTTAAACCATCACGGTATCTGTGTGTGCCATTTCAGATGTTATTCTAGCAATCACACGTTTAAAATTTTCTAATATTTTCTTAATTTGAAATGCTTATTCTATTTTTCTTATTAGCCATTGAAGTGTCCTGTGTTGGTTTGGGAGAAAGAAGTCAGGCAGAATTCAACTGAAGTAAAAACACTCTGTGAGAAAGTTGGGCATGTTGAAGGGTGAATGGCTTTCGTAGAGTGCAGAGAACAGGAGATGGGGTAGGAGCTGAGCCTAGTGGTCTGTTAAGGAAACTGCCTTGTACTCAAGAGCACTGAGACACCACCGAAGGAGCAGCAGAAGCGGGATGACATGATCCACTTTGGTTTCTGAAGATTTTAATAAAAGTGAATTCAAAGAAAACAGGTTAGAGACGTCGGAAAGCAGATTTGTTCAAACAGTTCATGTGAGAGAATTTGAGATGGAACTAGGGTTGTGCTGGGGCAGGAGAGAGTTAGATATATTTGAGAAATATTTGGAAGGTAAATTTGGGTGTGAATGGCTTGGTTATGAGGCAGGGGAGGGCGGGAGGAGAAGCACAAGATCATGGACATAAATTTAGATGTCCAGTATAACATTTTAATGAAAGAGCCCAATTCCACTGTGGGCATCCTGAAGTTAGGGTTGTTGGAGCTTGGAGGTAGAAATGTCACTGAGTAATGGAAGCAGCATCTGGATCTGCGTTCATATAAGAGATTGAGAAAAGAGGCAGAGTAGGCATAGGAGAGGCTACCTAGGACATATTCTCTATTATGAATGCAAGGAGGCAACCTCCTAAAGCCTCTGCTTATGTCATAACCAGACTGAGTGACAGAGTGAAACTCAAAGTCTTGACTTTTTTATGGTGAAACAGAACTGAAATCGTTAATAGAACACTATCTACCTGAGTAAGATTGAACTTTGAGACATTTAATGCTTGGGTACAGGAGAATGCTCCAGAAGATAAGCAGTCAATGCATCACTGAAGCTAAGGGTAGAGAGAGAGGTGGTTACATCAACTATACTGAATGCAATTAGAGGTCAAGTAAGGCAGGTGCTTAAATATGGAAATCAAAACTAATGACATTAATCAGAGTAGTTTAAAGATATTTATTGTAGTAGAGATGGAATCCAGACTGAGATGGGATTTGAATTATATGGTTGTCAATCTTTGATTTATAATAGCAAAGGAAAACAGAAATAAAATTCATAATAATAACAGTGGAATTACTCAATGGAACACAAATATACCATTGATTGTGGTCAATACTGATGACTTGTGGAAGTCAACAGAAAACTCGTGTTTACTGAAATGATTACACATATGCTTACTTCGCCTGTCTAATTGTTGCAACATTCTTGAGAACAATGCAGCATTGTCTGTTTATTTTCAGGTTAGAAATCTGAGATTCTAGAGAGATGGCTTGGCAGTTAAGAGCACTGGCTACTCTTGCAGAGGACCCGGGTTCAGTTTCCAGCACCCACATGGAGGCTAACGAATGTCTGTGACTCCATTTCAGGGGATCCAATACCCTCTTCTGACCTCCGTGGGCATTGCATGACATAGGCGCATTTACATACATGTAGGCAGTACACTCATACACATAAAATAGAAATAATAAATGAAATTTAAAAAGGAAATCTGAGATCCTGAAGGCTTGTTATCCTTAGTTGACATGATGATCTAACAAAAAATATTACTACCAAGTTTTCAAGCTATGTATTCTTTGTCAGTAGTCAACCCAGCGATGATTTCCTGAATATATTTCCTCTTGAATATAATGTACATTTTGCTAGTGAGGCACTGACTTCAGTTGAATCTGCTCATGTGTGAATCACAGGGAATGCCTTTGTTCTTTGTCTTAACACTTAGAAGTGTGTAAGGCTTTTGGTTTTAGTTCTATGAGGTCATAATCAACTCTTTACTTTCCAGAGTAATGCTTAAGTTGTCTCTGCTAAAAAAGCCCCCTTCACACACAGTAGGTTGTGCATGGGCACAGTAAAAATTAAGTATTAAAGCTGTCATTTAAAAGCATGAAAATTATATGCCTTTTTCAATGGGCATTAATTTACCTTTCAAATTGCTATACAAGTTTGAATTGCTGCACTAACCTCTTCACAAGCTAGGAATGAGCATTTTGCTGTCCTGTATCTTGCACTCCTAGGTAAAGCACTTTTAAAGAAGGGCATCCTTTCTTATGCCTTAGGGAAAGCTGGTGTAAATTGTCCACCCTGAGACTTTGTACCAGGGAAATCTTCTTCAAGCTGAATGTCCCAAGTAGGTTTCTTATTTTTTTAAAAAAAATCACTTATACCTCCCTGGAGAAAATAATCCCAAAAAGATGCCAAGAACAAAGAATGCTTCTTTAATGCATACTTTAAACTAATTGTGAAATCCCACTTGCTAAGTCAGATAATACATGTGCAGTTTATAGGTTTGTAAATTCTTTAGTTTTATCTGTTGCTTTATCAGCCAACACTAACGCCAGATTTATTCTTGGCGTAGCCTCTGTCACAATTCACGTCTTTTTCATTGCTTATGGTGTGTGTGCTAGAGGATGAGGTTTAAATATACTGTGACTGAACTAGATATGTGATGATCACCTGTAATCCTAACACTAGAGAGATACATGCAGAAGGGTGGTTTGCAAGTTCAAATCCAGCCTGGCCTATATAGCAAGTTCTGGACCAGTAGACTAGTATGAGTACAGAATTTATATCTGTAAACCAGAGTGAGGGGTAAAGCAACTGAAACGTTCCTCCAGGTAATGTCTGTCTTCTAAATACACTGCCAGGTGTCCTGGTTCTGTGTAGTCAGTCCTTCCAGTTCCTGATTCTGTTGGTGGGATGACAGATCATAACTGCAGCCTTGAGGGCTGCAAAGTGCAAAGCAACTCTTGGGCGATTTTCACCATGCCGTCTTCTGCATCATTTCTCTATTTTAGCAAGTGCTGTCATAGCCTTGTTTATTTTCTCTCTATGTACTCTAATCTGGCTTTAGTAATCCTTTCTTGTCTTTCTTGCTGTACTCTATGATAGTTATTTCTGTTAGGTCTCACTATCC